TTGCATGTTTAAAAATATTAATTTTTTGAGATAATTGCACCATTTCTCCCCTCCATTAAATGCAGTTTGTATTTTTAGAGGTTTAAGAACTTGTTTTCATGTTGTGGTCCTCCCAATCCCTACCCTAAGATGCTCCACCTGCTGGCAGAATGGCAGTATAGCTTCAAAAAGGACCTTGCTTAGGACTCCCTTGATTTGGCAGTTTTGTCTTAAGCAAATTTGTAAGTTACACCTTTGTAGCTGAAAAGAGCTCCACAGAGATGTAACTAACAGCTACATCATCTCCCTGCAGGAAGTGTGCAAATATAAGCTGGTATGGATGGCTGGGAAGAGACTCTGGTTGCTGTTACAATCAATGAACATACCATGTACACTGGCATTTTAGAGCAAGTTGTGAATCAAAATATCTGTTTGTTCTGCTTCGTTAGCATATTTGTACCCTTTTCATGCAGTAGAATCCAAGGCCTTGAGCTTCATAAAAAAGAATAGGAGAAGGTTGCTTCCTGTATAGAAATATAGAATAGTATTTATGGGTCCTGTGCTTTGATTGAGAATGTCTCCTATAGGCTCAGGCATTTGAATACTTAGTCCCAGTTGGTGTTGCTGTTTGGTGAGGTTTAGGTGGAGTAGCCTTGCCACAAGAAGCATATCACTGGAGGTGAGCTTTGAAAATATTCGCCTCACATACTTCCAGCTCACTGATTCATGCCTGTAGCTGAGGGTGTGAGTTGTCAGCTTCCTGCTGCTGCTTGGTGCCATGCTTCTCCATCAGGACAGATTTCTATGCCTATGGAACTGTAAGCCCAAATAAACTTCTCACCCCATCCCCAATAAGTTGACTTGATCATGGCGTTTTACCACAGCAACAGAATAGAAACTAATATAGGAATCATAAATAATTAAGTTCTTTAAAAACAAAACAAAATCAACCAAAAAGAAAAAAGCGGGGGGGGGGGGGGGAGACATGTATTCTTTAAAATGCCAGGAAGTTTTGCTTTGTTTTCTTTGAGGCAGGGTTTCTCTGTGTAGCCTTGGCTATCCTGGACTCACTTTGTAGACCAGGTTGGCCTTGAACACACAGAGGTCTGCCTGCCTCTGCCTCCCTGAGTGCTGTGTCAGGAAGTCTTATTGAGTTTGATTTCTGCAACTCCTATAAAAAGCCAGATGTAGTAGAATACATGTGTAATCTTAGAACTCCCAAAGGGAGATGGGAGGCAGAGACAGGCAAACCAGAAGACAACTTGCTAGTACTGCTTTGTCTACTGGTCCAACTGTTAGCCTGTATGCTGATGTGATATTTTGTTATCCATATATGTGTCTGTATGCCACCTTTAGGTATGATGTTACTTGAAAACGACCCCCCCCCCCGGGTTTACTTCAAATTAGCCTATAGGTAAGCAAACATACATGTAAACTCAGTCCAAATTCCCTCCAATTCCTAAGACTTAAACAAATCTTATTATTTTAAATTTACAAGTAAAAAAAAAAAAAAAAAAAAAGCTGGGTGGCAGTGATGCATACCTGTAATCTCAGTACTCTGGAGACAAAAGCAGGCAGCTCTCTGTGAGTTCAAGGCCTGCTTGGTCTACAGAGCAAGTTCCAGGACAGCGAGGGCTACAGAGAAACCCTGTCTCAAACTCCCTCCCCATTCCTCCCCCCCCCAAAAGAAAACAAACTCCAGGACTGATAATACATTGGCTTGTGCTACTATTAGATAGTTAAATAATAATGTCAATATCTTTGTTTCAAATACCACTTTCTGGGGCTTCATTACAATACTCTGTGCAAAAGTCAGTAAATGTAATAAAAAGCTGGTGTAGCTGGATAGGGCCTTGGGTTGTCCTTGGTGATTTCCAGATTGTATTCTAAAGAGTTGAACAAGACACATTATGGACATCAGGGTTCCCTTTTGCAGGTCCCTAGTTTTTTCTGATGAAAGAATTTGAGATTTAGAATTAAATTTGAGAATCATTTTATTAGATTTTAAAAGAAAAACCACAGGGCAGGCAAACTATAATCCATCAGTAAGATGGGGGACTTGGAAAAAGGAAGCTGCAATAGAGTAGGGGGTTTCTTCCTCCCATCCCCAAGCTCCTGGAATAGTGATTCATGAGACTCAAAATATTATTTACAAATACCTAGGCCATGTAGCTAGGCTCTTTTCTCACTAGCTCATAACATAATAACTCATTTATATTAATCTACATTCTGCCATGTGGCTAGTTACCTGTACTCAGGTACCATGCATCCATTCTCCTTACATCTTGTTGGCTGACTCTCTTACACCTGGCTCTATCACAGAATCCCTTTTGCCTGCAGATGTCCCACCTTCTATTTCCTGCCTCACCTATAGGCCATAGATATTGTAATTGACAGGTATTGCATCCATACAATCCACAAGATAATTCCTTCTACAATTCCCCATTTTAGTTCAATAAAAGGCCCCTTTTTACATAATAAACTATATACAATAAGAACACTTATGAAACAATTATGAAAACTATTGGGTAAGATTTACATTCAATGTAAATTTACATTCAACGTCCAGTCCAAATTCATTTGGCAACTTAAGAGAAAGCATTCTATTAATTATCCTATCTTGATAAGTTCAGAGTTGTATACCTAAAAATTTTCTATCCTTATTTGCATTATCAATCAAAAAACATCTTCTTAGACCTAAAAATCTTCTTAAATCCTAAACTTAAGCTTTATTTTAAGACAGTAACTACCTAGTCTTCAACCCCATCAAAGACTTGAGAAGGAATAAGTATTACTTGAGAATGCAGGAAGTCCAGGGAAGCTGCTTCCAATACTATAGACTTGACAGACAGCTGGATGCCTGGACAGTCACCCCAAATTTCTCTATAACATTGTAGTGTCAATCTTCAGCCTTCTGGCCCAGTAAGATACACAAGAGAATTCCTTCTACAGCGCAAAGGAGACTTTTTCATCTCATGTGGGCTCAGTTCAGGAGTTGGGAGTACCAGAGATTCACAGTCACAAAAAGCATCCACTGACTCAATAGCTCTGAGTTTTTGTCTGCGATCCTGACATTGATGGTTGTTAAAGGGTGATGTGTAGAAGGAATCTCTTTTTATCTGTATGGAAGCATCACCTGTCAAGAAAAAGCTAATGGCCTTTAGCTAAGACAAGAAATAAGGAGGTGGGGGGTTCCAGGGAGAGAGGGGGTGGGGAGCAGCAAGGCATGGTGCTGGACTCCTTTAACCCTGGCACTTGGCAGGCAGAGGGAGGTAGATCTATTGAATTCAGGGCCAGCTTAGTCTCTATAGCAAGTTCCAGGCCAGCCAGGGCTACACGTAGTGAGCCTCTAGGTCAAAATGACAACGCAAAATCCCCATAAAACAAACGAACAAACATAAAGCTCCCAAAAATCTCAACTAAGAAAAGTGGATGAGCCTGGAATGCCTTAGAGAAGAGCTTGGAGGAAGGGCACTGCCAAAGAGAACAAAGGGAGGTAACAGGACTCACTCTGAGGCCCTCTGCTTTGTACTTTTTCATTCAATTTGTGGTTGCTGGGTTCACGACTGGACAGTTCTTTTCATGAGTTTAAGTTCTGTGCCTATTCATATCCAAATATTTTTTTCTTAAGACCAACAGAAAAGACACTATTCCTATTATTTGTGCAATATATGACCATCATTTCTCTTTTCTTAAACAGTCTAGAAACTTTGCAGCTAGGGGCCAGTGAGATGGCTCAGTAGGAACAGGCACTTGTTGCCAAGTTCAATTACTGAGACTCACATGGTGGAAGGAGAAAACTAACTCATACAAGTCTTCTAATCACTGACTGCGCCATGGCACAAATCTTCTCACCCCCCCCCCCCAAAAAAAAAAAGTAATAAAAAAATTCCACTAGATTTCAAAAAGATAAGGGGAGGTGACCCTTACACTGAAACATGAAGATAATGATTTTGTTGTTTAGGAGCCAGGGTTTCTCTGTGTAGCTCTGTTCATCCTGGATCAGGCTGGCCTCGAACTCACATATTCCATCTGCTTCTGCCTCCCTAGTGCTGAGATTAAATTCAATTCCTGCACCACCACCATCACCCATCGAACAGAACAAATTCTATGCAAAGAAGTCAAAAATCTAGCCACGTGGAGGGCACACATATTCACTGAAATGTCCCCTCCTGCACCCAGGAATGTTCTCAGTAGAAAAACAGCGGCACAGCCATGTCTAAATTCATCTGCACTTTAGGCGGGTCCTGACAATCACAGGCTGGTGGGGGACAAGCATTTTGGATGAACGAAAAAGGAACTAAAGAGACATACATACTTAGTACTACCAATAATCATTTTTAACATATTGGTTCAAATAAGAAAAACACACATATATATATATGGAAAAAAATCTTAATGTTAACCACTGAGGTGGGGAGGCGGGGAAAACTAATAACAAAGGCAGAAAAAGAAGCAAGACTTTAGGTTGTTGTTCTAATCCAACATTGCCACATAGAGATAAGCACGCAGCTGTTATCTGCAAACCTCACTGGGCTTAATGCTCACATGCAGGCCCTGAACATGGAGCCAAAGCTAGACTTAAACTCTTTATGTAGCTGAGGGTGACCTTGAACTCTTTCCTTTTCTCTGGCCTTCGCCTCCCCCGTGCTGGGTATTTTTCTGAGAGTCAAGAAATACGGCGTTGGTCGGGCCCCAACACTTCCAAAGACCCAATAGACAAGGAGTGCGCCACTACCACGTGGGAAGAGGCTCCACTAGGAGCGCTGACTCCCGGCCACATCCACACAGGGCCCAACAGGAGGCTCACCCGGATTTACCGAAACCTTGCCTCTTGCTAGGCAACCGAATCTCCACAGCGACCGGAACAGGAAGATGCGAGGCTGCCCAGAACCACGGAGGGCGGGCGCACGCAGCCTCTCTGAGCTCCTCGGAGACAGGGATACACAGCGTCCCGGTCGCCATGAAAACAGGCCACACCCCGGCGATCCCGGCCCGTGCCTGCCCAGTGCGCAGACGCGCGCGCCGTTCCGCGCATGAGCAGTGTGGCTTGAAGCCCGCCAGCCCGAGTCTCCGGCGCCAGCTACGCCGCTGTGGCTGTCACTATGGCCCATTACAAAGTGAGGGGGGCGCGGCGTGGCTCGGGGCGTGCGGGCGGCGCCGGGTGGGAGTTGGGGCGCGTGCAGGGCTTGGGGGTGGCAGCGGGGCGCGCCGTCTTCCTGCTCCGGCCCCGGGCTCCGGTCCCTGACCCGCCGTGTCTCCTCAGGCCGCCGACTCGAAGCGCGAGCAGTTCCGGAGATACTTGGAGAAGTCGGGGGTGCTGGACACGCTGACGAAAGGTGAGCCAGGGCGGGCGACGGCTGCCCGCGCCCGCGCGCTCCCGGCCAGGTGGGGCTGGCCCGGGGACTGGCAAGGCCTTGGGGTCCCGCGGGTCGAGCGCACGCCGGCTGCGGGACGTCGCCTCGCCCCGGTGGCCGCTTTCTACCTCAGACTGAAACTCTTGCAGCTGTTGCAAAGTCTCTCCAACTTCCGTTGCTTTCCCTCGAGCAGCCGCACTGGACACCTTAGCAAGAGACCTTGAGATGCCAATTGCTCCCGCCTTACAGTGTGCGGGATCCTACACATTTTCCTTTGGACAAAGGCAGCTAAGAAAATTACTGGATTTGAGAGTGGATTAAGTTAGGTCTAGTAGGGGGATTCATAATCCGTTTGGGCTGTAGCTTTTCAGCTCCTCCAGCTTGTATAATTCCTACTTTGTGTAGATCTCATAATTTTTGAAGAGCTTCAGAGCACATAAAAAATGACTATATTGTTTACCTTAAAAAAAATAGATGCTTACTATTGAACTGTATCCCTTCCTTTCTGGGTAAAACGTTACTGAAAACAAAGGATTCCCAGAGAGAATACAGCTAAACTGTATTCTAACAGTATATTGAATGCCTGCTATATGTTGAGTAACAGCGCAGCAGTGCTTGGTGTTTTCAAGGGAGTAGAATGGAATTTCTGGCAGGGATTGAAACCTTGGTCTCTTTGAGAATGGGAAGTGGCTTCGAAATAATTTATATCTGCTTTTTAGGGAAACAGCTAGGGGAAATTCTTGGATAACTTAGCAGAAAGCTGAGTTTTTAATTCCCTTACATGTTTGAATTACTAGTTTCCTTATGTCTTTGTAAGTGAGGGTGAGCAAAATATAAGGAACTACTCTGTGAAGCCACTGTATTTTGTGGCCTCAGAAGTGTCACAGATGCTTGGAATTCTGGTAAAAAACCCCTCATGTTTCTTTCATGTAATGTTCTTATTCCAGCCTTGTGTTCTAGGCACCAGGGATACAGCCATGAAAACGTCCTTGCTTTCAGGAGCTTGTAGCATAGTTGGGGGCACACACACTAAAACACAGTGCCAGCTAGTGGTAAATGTGTAACTTAAACCATACCAAGACTAGGGGGATAAAGATGTGACATTTTACTTTGAGTGCTAGAGGGAAGACCTTTGAACAGAATCTAAAGTACAGATTAGTATCTTTAGTCTGAAAGTTTGAAATCTGTAACTTAGTGAGCACTGATGTGGGAAATTCCATACCTGACTGCATGAATTACGTATGTCAGCCAAATTAAGCCTAGGAATATTTGCTTGTACAAGATCATGTTCACATTATGTGTATAAGGTTCATACAGAATATAAATGAATTTTATGTTTATGCTTGGATCTCATCCCCAAAACATCTCATGATGTATAAGTAGATATTCCAAACTCTGGAGATAAACACTGAAATACTTCTGGTTCCAAGTATCCTGTGTGTGTTGGGGGGCAGGGGACGGATGCAATGCAGTAATTGGACAGAAAAGCAATAAAAGGCAGATGGAGGACAGTTGGAGAGAACTGAGTGCAGAGCCACCTGCACAGGCCTTCAGGCTGTGTAAGAGTGTGGAAGCTTTTGCATGGTCCCACCCCTCAGTCTTTTTAAATTCTAGTCTCCTAAATAACATCTGACAACACAGTAGCTATTAATATGATTTAAAACTTAATTTTAAAGGGTCAAACATACAAGTTTACATTTTTTCCTATCCAGCAAACATTTCAGAGAGGGTTTATAATTGTTTTTAATGTCAAAACATTGTAAGAAACTAGGCATGATGACATGTTTTTAGTGCTCTAGTGAGGGAAGGTAGATCTGCATTTACTGCTTGCCTGAAGTACAAGACTCAACTCAAAAGGGCAAATTAGAGGTAGGCTGGAGAGATGGCGAGGTTAGACCACTTGATGCATAACCATAAGGACCAAAGATTCAGATACCAGCACCCATGTGTTGGGGGTCTCTGTGTGTAATCCCAGTGCTGGGGGGACAGACACAGGAGGATCATCAAGGCTTGCTGGCTTGCTCCAGGTTCAGGGATAGACCTTGGCTCAAAAGTTCAAGGCACATACATGCAGAAGACCTCAGTATCTTGTCTTTTTTTCTAATTGCACTTGATAGGCTGAAGTAGGAGGACTGCTTGAGTCTGCAGCCAGCCTGTGCTAAAGACAGACTTCATCTTAATAAAACAAACAGAAAAAAAAACAAACCAAACTAGCCAACCAAACAGAAAAACCCTTAAGACAAAAACATCCCTAAAGAAGGTAAATGTTGACACATCATTTGGAGTAGCATTTCAGTTATTTTGAGCAGCATATCAACCTTTAAAATACCTGACTTTAAATAACTACCTAGTTGCTAGGGGCCAGCAAGAAAGCTCAGCAAATGAGGTGCTTGTTGCCAAACCAAATGGACCTGAGTGTGATTTCTGGACCTCACATGGTAGGAGGAGATTCAGGAATCAGAATCTGGATTCCTGAAATGTGTCCTCTGATTCCCACCCCAAATCCCAGTACATAACCAGTAAAAATAAACCTGGCTTCTAAAGCAAAAGGGAATATAATTTGGTTGAATTCTCTTCAGATAAAAAGTATAGCCATCTCATAGAAAAGCATAAGAAACTTAACACTTTGTAGCATCAGCCTTGCAAGCACCACAGACAGGAATTTGGAAGCTGAAGGAAAAGGGGGTAGAATAATGGAAGGAAACGGCAGGAACATTAATCTATGAGAGTTTAGATTCTAGCCTGCTGGTGCTTGTCTTTACTCACAGAACTGGGGAGGCAGCACTCACAGTGTCAGGCAATTTCTGTGAGTTCAAGGCCACCCTCGTTTATATAGTTTCAGGACAGATAGGGTTCCGTCAAGAGATGCTGTCTTTAAAAATAAGTAAAGGTACAGATCAGTGGAAGAAAATGGAAGAAACACTTTTAAATGTATAATTAAAAAGTAATACATCAGGATTTAAGTATTCTAACATATCCTAAGAGATGATGGCAGAATAGTGGTGGTATAAATGCAAATTTCTAACACCACAAAACGAAACACTGTATTTTGGTGTAAAAGTATCTGCTCACTTGATGTTTTTCACATTTGTCTGTATTTCCAATTTTTATTAAATCTTTGAAAACTAGAAGACATGTAAATTGGTTTGTAACTGGACTTCTTAATTTGGACTCTTACATTCTGTACATTGAACAGTTACATTTTTTTGCTTTTGTTAAGATTTTCATAGTTGATATGGTGACACACACACCTGTATGGAAGAACTGAGGCAGGAAGAGTGCTAGGAGTTTGAAGCCAGCCTGGAATACATAGTGAATTCTAGGCCAGCTTTTTTGGTTAACCTGTCTTAACTACACATGGGCGCAGGCATACACAAACTCAGGAGCTTTTTCAACGGGTCTAGTTTGGAGAACCTGCCACTTGAACATTGATTTCCAGGAGGACGTGTTCAGTGATGAGTCAGACCGTGTTCACACCGAGCACTAGTGTAGTTTTAAATGCCAATCTGAGCACGCTGCCTATTGGTAATGTTTTTGGTTGCTGCCTTGCCTGTCATACATGAAATTTAATTCTTGAACATTCTGAATAGAATGCTTCTGTTAATTACCTAAAATTCCTTGAATTTCTTCAGGTAGCTTACACCAGATGTTTTGTTTTTGAGTCAGGGCTCCTTGTAGCTGAGGTCTCTAGCTCACCTTGAACACTTTATCTCCCTGCCCTACCTCATTGGTGCTGAGACTGGAGTCATGGGCCATCTCACCCAGCTTTCTTAATTGTTCTGCCACTTTCTGTGTCCTACCTCAGTCAGTCTTGCATATAGCATTTAAGAATGATCCCGCCACCTCCTTGCTTTAAAACTGCTGAAATTTGTAGTCCTTAGGATCAAAGTTCAACTAAGCTTTTCTCAGTTTTCCATCGTCTGCTCCTAAGTACCTTTTCATTCACTACCCTCAACATAACCTGACGTATTAGTTCCCTAGTGTGGCTTTCCTATTTTACCCGAAACACACCTAGGTTTCAGGGCTGCCTCTGATGCTCAGTATTCTCCAGTCTTATTCTGAGACTCACTAACCACTACTGCAGTTGAGTACTCTGAATTCCTTCTCTTTTGCAATGGACTGTAAATGTGTTGCTAGCAAGGGCATTCTCTGACTTGCTCACCACTGTCTGAGCATTCCGCTCACCATACAGCAGGCAGACAGTGTTTACTGAGTTTCAGAATATTTCAGCCATCTACAATGAAGACTTCATTGCTTTTCTTTCTCTTTGGTTTGCAGTGTTGGTAGCCTTATATGAAGAACCAGAGAAGCCCACCAGTGCTCTGGAGTATCCTTTTCATCTTTGAAGTCAAAAAGACCATATTTTTTTGACATTTTTATTTATTCAAATATATAAGCTTTGAATATTTTAATTGAAAAAATGATTTTTAATTTTTACATGACCTTGATAACTACTGGTAGTGTGGGGGTTGACTGTCCCCGGCCTCATTCTGCTCGGAGTACATACTTAACACTGATGTTAGTTTTTTAAAGCATCACTTAGGAGCTGCTACCCCGGAAAACCCAGAAATAGAGCTGCTTCGCCTAGAATTGGCAGAAATGAAAGAGAAATATGAAGCTTCTGTAGAAGAAAATAAAAAACTGAAAGCAAAGGTAAATTTAAAAAAGAAATTCAAATTAAAAAAAAACAACCTTGTCTCTAATTATTATCTGACCAAATCCTTACTACAAGCCAGGAATTATGTATCTCAGTGGTAGCACATCTGTCTGGCATGTACTAAGGTCCTGGGTTCCATCTGCAGCATGATAAAACTAGAGTAAACAACTAACCCCAAAATGTCACTATATGGGCAGCAGAGAAAACAGTATCAGTTTGAATCAAATGCATAGCCAACTTAAGCCTCATCTAGAAAGATCCCAAGACCAGCAATAAACAGGATAAGCAAAGTGTGGTCAAGAAAAGGGAATTGAGAACCTGTATCAATAAAAAGGTGCGACTACTGGTTAGTACTGCTTAAATTAAATGGGCAATTTTAAGGTTCTTAAGCAGTTTAGGTCAGTCTAGGCCACTGCTTTGCTGGAATGGGGCAGTGCACAGTCTGTACTGTTTGAAGCATGATTCTCTAGGTTCACAAGATAACGGAATAAGCTGCACCCAAGTTTTTCCTTTGTTCAAATTCCCATAAACTTGAGCATCAACTTAAAGTCTCTGAGGTTTACCACATTCTGAACCACGTGATGCACTTTCCAAGTCTGAAACTAATTGAAAGAAGTCAAGTCTTCTTAAGTCTAGTGTTCTTGTAAGGAACTACAAATTTTTATAAAAGAAAATACAATGTCTTAAACTACCAAAGATTCTAAGATACAGACTTGGTAGTTTCTTTATAGACCAGGCTGGCTTCAAACTCAGACCAGTCTGCCTTTGCCTCCCCTGTGCTGATTTAAAGGAGGCTTCTGGTACTTCTAAAGTCAGACATTAGTTATTTTCATTGACTGGCCATACTAATAGAAATCACATAACTCTTCCCTTCTGCTTTTTAGGATAAGACAGTCCCATATTACACAGCACGGCATTTTTTCTTTTGAAAGATAAGATTATTATGTATCTAGTATTTTAACAGTTCAGTCATGAATTAAAATTAAAGTTCAGTTCCCTGGCAATGCTAAAGGTTTACACACAAAAAAGGGTTTTGTTAGGTTTAATTGTAGTCAATCTAAAGTAAGTATAAGTGAATGGTTTAAGAAATAAGTTTAGAAATTGATTACTGACTCAAAAACTAAGTTGAATATAATATCTAGTCTAATTTCATTGTATTACTAAGTTTTTTACCCAATTTAAATAAAATTCATCTAAATCCTCTGTCTTTGCCCCATAGCTTGCTCAGTATGAGCCACCTCAGGAGGAGAAGCGTGCTGAATAGGATTCTTCTCAGTTGAAAAGACACTGAAAACTGGTTTTGTATCACTTGAATAGCTTGTATAGTATATAATCTTTCCTGAAAAGATGCTATAAACTTTTAATATGTTAAATTCACTCATCACACTTTAATGTTATAAACACATACATAGAATCACCAATAAAAACTCAATATAACTTTCTTTGGGTCTTAAAGCAGGAGAATCCAAAGTAGATCTCGAAGAAAAGCTAAAAAGCCACATAACTTTTCACCTTAAAAGACATTTTATTTATTATCCAATTAGGAATGATGGTACTGGTTGTATTTTAGTCAGGAGATTTAGCATGGAGCTATTCCTTGGACTTGAGCATAGTAGGCACACTCATTCTTGACAGCGCACATTTCCTGTAGACAGCTGGATACATCTGTGATGTATGCTTTTGCATGGATTCCCATGCATCTTCTGCTTCTTTATATAATGTGGAAGGAATAACTCTTTGCCACCACTTTGCCTTAGATACCTTTGTGTGTGCCAGTATGAACTCTGACACCACATTTTCTTTCTATGCAATCATGCCCATTTGATAATGCTGCCTTGCTGTGTGTGTGTGTGCTTTAGTGCGTTCTGGTTGCACATTAGTTTAGTGTTTTCAGTTTGCTTAATGCTGCAGTTACCTTGATTGTAATTTACATAATTTCTAACAGGACTACAGTCTTACCCTGTCTTACTTTCTTCCTTACTTGAGTATAGAAGAGAGATAATATAAAGTTCTGGGTTCATGCACAAGCTGGGATGGGAAAGTGGATAAACTATTATGTCATAGATGACTATAGTATGTGATTACATAATGTTTTCTTTTCCCTCAAAGGTATTTTTGAGCCTTGAACTCATTATCCCTATGATGTAGGTAGGGTGAGTAAAGGGGAGGTTGGGTGCTGAATTTTTAGGTCAAAGACTGACATACAGATGTGTTCCTAACTATAGAATGAGCCGGTCAGTTAATGGCTTGGAGATTTACTTTCCTCATCTGTACCATAAGAACATTTGCTGCCTACCTCACAGGGTTGTTGTGAGGTCAAATGAGAGAATGTATATGAAATATTTGTAAATGGTAAAGTACCACTTGTTTAGTCCTTTTCTTTCTTTTTTGGGTAGGGGACAGTCTCAGATAACCCTAGGCTGGCCTTTAACTCCTGCCTCCAACTCCTGAAGGGTAAGATTAGAGGCATTCACCACTACATCCGGCCCTTCCCCCTTTCTCTGGGAAGAATCACAGTAAGATATATTGCTGGTCACTTCTTCCTCACTGACAAACATCTAAGCCTTTCTGTGTCATGCCTCATATCCTTGTTTGGCAGCCTGTCTTTAAATTTTGATCACTGCACCCATCCAATCAAAGCTAGTTTAACCAGCAGAGGCACTGGGACCTGCTGGAAACTGTGACCAATCCATTTACGAGGACACTGTAATCAGTCATGTTGGCAGGATTGTGGCAATGGTCTGCATTTCTTCCAGTCACAAGTTTGTTTCTGGAGGGTGGCCAAATACTCCTGGAGGAACGTTCAGCTGGACAGATTCCCATTTACTATCAGTCTGAGTGCCTCCTGGGTGGACAGCACTGGGCTATGTGCTGGTGTGGTAAAGACTCCATTAGGAGACAATACAAGGTGGGTAAGGATGTGCTAAGAATTGTAGGAATAAGCCAGGTGTGGTGGTGCATACCTGGAAATCCCAGCACTTGGGGAGGCAGAGGCAGGTGGATCTCTGAGTTTGAGGCCAGCCAGGGCTACAGAGAAAAAGCCTGTCTAGGAAAAAAAAAAAAAATTGTAGGAATAAGGCAGGGTCCTGAGGACTTAGAAGAAAGGGGACTTAGCTTCTTCAGGTAGTTTGTATGGCCATCATTTTGTTGATGCAGACAACTATGTATCTGTGACTGGCCTAGCACTTACTATGTAGCTGAAGATCCTCACTCCTCTGCTTCCCAAGTGCTAGGATTAAAGGTGTGTATCACCATGCCTAATCTAATGTTACATTTATGTCAGTAGGTCTGTGAAGTATCTCTTGAACCACCATTTTGCACATTAGTTGTACAGCATGTGGGTTAGATTACCACTTGCAGGTGGACACTGACCTGGGTCAGCCACTGATATTATAAGAATTCAAGGTCTGGGGCTAGAGAGATGGCTCAGTGGTTAAGAGTACTGGCTGCTCTTCTTGAGGTCCTGAGTTCATTTCCTGGCACTCACATGATGGCTCACAACCATCTACAGAAGGATCTGATAACCTCTTCTGGGGTGCAGATGTACACACAGAGCATACATACATTTAAAAAACAAACCCATCAATCGATCAATGATAGAAAAAAAGAAGGAAAAAGATTTAAGGTGAGTGGGAATGGTGAGCCACCTGACATCAGTGCTGGGAACGAAACTGGTCCTCTCCAGGGGCAGTGTGTGCTCTTAACCATCGAGCCCTGTTTCCAACATGTCTGTCACAGACTTGGAAGACTCAGGGTTAGGGTCAGGCAAGATGATGCTAAATGGAGTATGAAATGGAAGCCATTAGTTCAGTTCCTGCTGAACTCCAGCTGCTTCACTATAAAATAATTATTTTATTATAGATATGGTTCAGTGGGTAGAGATGCTTGGGTGCAGGCTTGAAGAACTCAGTTCAATCCGTGCATCCCACAAGGTGGCAGAGAATCATCTCCTGAGAGCTGTCCTTGCACATGTGTACACCTGCATGCACACAGGACATGTAAAAGTTCTGACCAGACATGATGATACAAGCCTGGCATCCTAGCACTTGGAGGCGGGAGGCTCAGGAATTTTAAAGTCATTTCTGACTACATAGTAAGTTAGAGGCCAGCCTTGGGTACTATGTAAAACCCTGTCTCACCTCCAACCCCCACAAAAGGTATGTGTGTATTTGTGTATGTGTGTGTTTTCACATCTTGCCTACCTTAAAAAGTTATTGTCAGGATGAGAGTAAATACAGTGAATATAAAAGTGCTTTGCAAACTGTAAAGGACTACCTGCAGATCAGTCAGTACTACTGCCACATCTATAAGCATCACAGAATTAGAAAGGCTGGTTGGTAGATTACTCTGGAACAAGTTTAACCATCATAATCTGGAGTACATATACTGCTATGCACAAACAAAAAAGTTAAAAACATCAAGTCCTATAGTGGCCAAAAAAAATGTAGTTACACAGAGTGAGTAGGATTTCTGACAAAATAATACTTCTGGTGATCCCTAATGTGTACTTTATACTCCAAGGACATTTTAAAGTCTATTTTCAAGAACAGATACACTGTCCAGGTGCTAAATAAGTCTTTCTGAAATCCCTACTGTTATTCTGTAGTTACCAGGCATCTGAGGGATGCTGTCAAGCATGAATGCATTTTAAAGAATAATGATTAATAAGGAGAAGGGATGTGAAAACATGGCTGAGTTGTTCAGTGCGGTTGCCACCAGCTACAAAACTGAGTTCCTCAATCACACCAGCAGTATTTCTAGCATCAGTGATCATATGGCCAGCAGATACTATGCAGAACAGAATAAACATGAAACATTCCCACTCTCAAAGTCCTATAGAACATTACTGTAAAGGCAATGATTGAAGCAACCGAGGGTAACAGGGAGCAGAGAAGACCGTTTTTGGGGGTGTGGAACTCACTGTTACTTCAGGTTGAAAAGACGTTTGGTGCATAATGAAGACTGTATTAGTAGAGGACTGTAATAGTAATGAAGCCTGTAGTGGGAGGGCTGAATAGTAAGTAATGAATAGTAATAAAGACTGACGGTAGAAGGGCTGTTGTGAAGTGACCACTGCTCTGTTCCAGTGTAGGCTGCTGCCTGTGATTAAAGGCATGTGCTACCAGGCCTAGGGTAGGTAGTGCTGCGGATGGAACCTAGGGTTTCGTGAAAACTAGTCCAGCCTTCTACAAACTGAGCTACATCTCCAGCACCTTGAACAAGAAACTATACGATTTAATTTTATGTGTATGAATGTTTGGCCTGCATGTATGTATGTGTACCATGTGTGTGCCTTGCCTCCTTGGAGACCAGAAGAGGGTATTGGATCCCCTGACACTGGAGTTACAGGTAGTTGTGAGCCATCTGGGTGCTGGGACTGACTATGGATCTCCTGTAACAGCACCAAGGGCTTTTCAACTGAGTCATTTCTCCAGCCCAGAATGAAATTTTAGACAGAACAAAGCTTTGGAGATGGCCCAGAAGGTAAAGCACTTGTTGCATAAATGTGAGGACTTGAGTTTGAATCCAGAACTCACATAAAGTTGGGCAGATTTGTGTCTAACCCCAGTGCTCCTGTTGTGAGATGGGACGTGGACAGGAGTCAGCCCAGAAATTTACAGGCTAGCTAGCTTTGCAAAGATAGTGCTAAACAACAAAGAAACTGTCCCAGAAATCAAGTAGAAAGGTTAAGATATCTGAGGTTATCCTCTGACCTCGACTCATAGAGCACACCCAAAACTGTTAAGCAGAACTTTTATCACAGCTACCCTTAAACTTGATTTCCTCTGGCACAACAGTTGGTTTTCTGAATCCATGGAAGTAAGCCAACTGGATTGGAAGTATTTGAGGGAAAATTGTACCGAGCACATGTAGACTTTATTTTTGTCCTTATACTATGCAAAAGTATAACAAATGTTTACTTCCCCCTCCTTAAAAAAAAGGGTCTCTAGCTTAGGCTATCAAGAACTTAATGTGAAGCACAGGCTGACTTCAAACTTACTGGGGGAAGCCTGTATCTGCCTTTAATATACTGGGATTTGCAGATGTGTGCCATGATGCCCAGGCTAAGACACCATCTCATTGTACTAATTATTATAATTAATGCAGAGATGATATAAAGTACATGTGCAAATAGCCAATATAAGGAACTTGACTGTCTTCTAGTCTGTTAATGGGATTAAGGGTGTCCTGAAAGCAGTCTCCCAGAGATGTTGAGGGACATACACATTTAAGTGCTTTCTACCTCCTTACTAGATACTATAGACTTAATATTTTTTGGGTGAGGTTGTGATGACCTCTGAGGATAGCCGGCCTTCAACTTCTAGATCAGGTAGAACCAAAGTACCAGACCTACACAAGCTTACTTTTATCTTCACAATCAAGTCAATCTGAATCTGAGCAGGGGATGAGGCTAGGTGGTAGAATTTGCCTAGCAT